AAAGAATAAGAGAAGATGCACAGAGGTCTGAAATCTATTGCCAGTTCCCATTAAATCAATGTATCCTATGTACAGGTTGGCTCACGATTCAATAATTGATTCAATGGGTCTACTCTAGTTGGGTCTAATCAGTAGATTTCAGGCCAGGATCTACAGATGTATCTGCTCAACAAGATGGGAAAAATCATGGACTATGCATGCCAGCAACCTATACGTTGACATCATTTTTCTGCTCTGAGTCTGTCACTGGTCACGTCATTGCTGCATATTCACAATAGCCCTTCCACCAGGTTACGGTTTTAGGGTATATCTACACTATACAGATATATTCATTCAATACTACTTGAAGCATCATTGGCCTGACTTTTTTTTTCATTGTTTTAATGTCTGGAGTCCAGGGTTTGAATCCCCACTCAGCCTTGAAAACCTACTGGATGAACTTGGGTAAGTCATGCTCTCTCAGTCTAAAGGAAATTAGGTATATAAACTACTCTGAATAAATCTTGTCAGTGGTTTGAGTCAGGACTAAATTTGAGACATCAATGTTTAAATCCATGCTCTGCCATGGAAATCCAGAGACAAATATGCATGATCCTTAGTTATTTAAGGGATGGCAAACATCCCATTGGGGATTCAGCATGCTTTGAGTGGAGAACTGAGACCTCATGAAACTAGGGTTCAAATTCCTACTCAGCCATGGAAACCCACTGGGTGACCTTGGACATGCCACACTTGCTCAATCTTAGAGGAAAACATTGGCAAACCCCTTTTGAATAGATCTTGCCAAGAAAACACTATGATAGGGGCATCATAGGTTGTGGTCAGGCTGAAGATGCATAACAACAAACTTCACTCTTACCACTCTTCCAAAATTTGAATATTTCCCTCTTAAATCTCTCTTCTCCAGATGAAACAGGCCCAACTGTGAAGCAATCAGCTAAGTTACAAAAGCCCTGTCATCTTGTCCATTGAATGACCAGTCCTCTAGGTCCACAACTACAACAAGAGATGGTATAGCCCAGATATAGGTTTCTCTCCCAATCAGCTATGTGTGATAATTAACAACCAACCAATGGGTCTATTGTAATGGTATCCAGTCACCCTTGCAACTTGAATCTTTGGAAGTTAAAATTGGAAATTTGGGTGGTAGAGCAAGTAACAAAGATCAATGTTGTTGTCCATGGTGCTGATTTTTCAACAGACAAATATATGCCTATACTGCATGTTAAGGTTTTTTTTTCCCCATTAAAACTTTAATATATGACCAATTTTGTAATGGTGTAGTCAGCAGTAGGGGTGGAAACAATATTTGAAAATAGTCAGAAAATGGCTTAGATGCAAATTTATTTCGGTCATGGAACAATATAAAAATAATATAATATAAAATATATAAAGAAATAATGTAGAATTATTAAAACAAATCAGATACAAAACAAAGGAAATCAGAATTGGTCTCTGCCATCTAACATCAGTTGTTACCAATCATCCGAGAGCGTGTTTTACATATAACCTAACAAAATTTTGCTACCTTAAGTATAACAGTTTGATTTTTACTGTCCAGCAAATAGCTTTGATAAAAAACAGCAGTGTGTCCAGGAAATTTGGTTAGAAGAGGGGTAATCTGCTGATGACGAATGTCCTTGTAAAATTGACAATGCAAAAGTACATGAGCTATAGTTTCTATTGCTCCAGTATCACAAGGACAGAATCAAAGTTCATGGGGGATTTTCCTCTATTTCCCTTCCAGTACTGCTAATGATAATGTTCTCCTGAACTTAGGCACTGTGATGTAATATAAGTAAGAGGCAGGATCAGAAACCGACATTTGGTTATTTACCAATGAATAATTAGAAAAGGAAGCAGTTTCAGTCTGACCTTCGATGTCTAGGAGCCTTTGCCTTACAACTGATTTTGCTTGATCTAGTCCTAGCTTTAGAATAGTATTACTAGAAAGTCCAAGCAGGATCAGTTTTTTATAGATAGCTGTTCCCCAAGAAGATTTATAATTGTCTACCAAAATTAACTGGGACAGTCCATCAGGACTATTATGTATTTTTAACCAATAAGTAAAGATGTTTATCCACAAACTGGATTCGATTTTACTGACGCCTGCTTCCCTTCGTAACATGGCATTGGACACACAGTGGGCAACCTGAAATATACTCCTCAGAAACTTTGTTTGGACTCTTTCAAGTGCAATCATATTGTTGTAAGGTCCTAATTGGGCTCCATATAAAAATTGGGCTCGAGCTTTGGCCGTAAAGAGCTTAATTGCTGCAGGAATGAACTGTGCTCCTTTAGTAAAAAAATAATTTTGAATAGCTGTGGCAGATCTTTGTGCATTCTTAGAAACATAATCTGAATGAGCATTTCTATTTCCTGAGGCTTGGAAGACTATCCCCAAATATTTAAAGATCTTAACCTGCTCTCAATAGGCTGTCCATCCAAAAAGCAACTTCTCTGTTTAAGGTGTTTTGAAAAGATAAGGATTTTAGTCTTGGAATAATTTATTGTTAATTCTTCATCAGCACAGAAGCGAGCAAGTGATTTTGAAGCTCTCTTGGGTTTCTTGTGTGTTGGGGAATCCCAATGAGGAGAAAACTAGACAGATCAGAATCTTTGCAGTTTTGAGACTTCTCTGTGGGGGAAATGCACTTTTTTGCATAATGCTGGGGTCTCAGGAAGGAACACACAATTGACTTCAAGGAGAATTAATTTAGCTCAGTGGGAAGCAGTGAGAGGGCTTTGGGTAATTCTTAAAAGCCAGGATTCTAGCCTATATATAGCGATTCCAAACCAAGAACTCCAGACAGCACATTCCAAATTAATTTAGTTTATTGATCAAAAGGGGAATCAACACTCATGAAAAACCCTCTTTCACACACACACACACGACCTTAGATAGAAAAGGTAGTAGCAGACAGTGAATTAAAAGATTGCAGTGAGCAATACTTTACCAATTTCAGAAGCAAGGCTCCGATCTGGGGAAAGATTGTGAGTCGAATGAGGCTCAATCTGCTGCTTTGTGGCACAGCCAGTAGTACTGAGGGCTTAAGCTTGAATCCAGCAGAGTTTATACCTGATTCCAACTGGACTAAATTTGAGGTGCCCAAGTGGGCATATTTATATGGTAAAACATGTCCTGAGGCAGTTTCTCAGGAGTTGAGTAGATTTTTTCAGGGAAGGAATGGCCAGAGATATGTGGAGATGGCCAGACAATCAAGGAAAATATTTCAAACAAAGAGGTGTCATCTCAATTCATTTCTTTTATTTAAAAAAAAGTCAATGAAAATAACAGAAATTATCAAAAAAGCAAACCTTCTCAAAGATAAGTAGAGGAGAAACTATTTATTCATTTTTTGTGGGCTTTTCGGGCTGTGTGGCCATGTTCTAGAAGAGTTTCTTTCTGACATTTCGCCAGCATCTGTGGCTGGCATCTTCAGCATCTGTGGCTGGCATTTTTCTCTGAAGATGCCAGCCACAGATGCTGGCGAAACGTCAGAAAGAAACTCTTCTAGAACATGGCCACACAGCCCGAAAAGCCCACAAAAAACTATAGATGCTGTCCATGAAAGCCTATGACTATTTATTTGTTTATTTATGGGATTTATATCCAGCCTTTCTCCAAAAATTGGATTCGAGGCAGCTTACAATAATTTTAAAAAGTTAAAACTAAAACACAACTTACAAATTTAAAATACATTTATATAATACTAATATTAAAACAAAAGATAAGAACAACTCAATTAAAACCAGTTTAAAAATAAAAATAAACAATGACATCCCAACGATGAAAAGTATCCAATGATGGTTACTTTTAGGACCCATTGATCCCAAACCACTTTCTGGCAATGGAGGAAATGGATGTAAATGCTTGACTCCCTCATTTAAAGCAATGAGAGCTATCAATGGCTAAAGGTTGTATCCCTACATTGCTTTGTATGCGATATTCAGGAAAAGCTGGCATCTCCCAAAAGCAAGTGGTGAATTTTGTTGTTGCTGTATGCCTTCAAGTTGTTTCTGACTTATGATGACCCTAAGGCAAACCCATCATGGGGTTTTTTTTGGCAAGTTTCTTTGGAGGAGGCTTGCCATTGTCTTCCCCTGAGGCTGAGAGCATGTGACTTGCCCAAGATCATGCAGTGGGTTTCATGGCCAAGCTGGGAATCGAACCCTGGACTCTGGAGTCGAACGCTCAAACCACTACGCCATGCTGGTGTTGAATTAGCTCTGGGTTTTAGTCCAAAGGAGCTGTCAATGGTGCTATTCTATTTTTTAAATCCTTAAAATAGAACCCAGGACTTTGAGTAGCTTAAAATTTGGAGCAAATTTATTGCTGCATTGGTATCAGAGCTCTCATTTGTACGTTGCTCACATGTTCTCAGTTCTGTCTCTGAACCTTTAAAAAATGCAACCTTCTTTCTCAACATTATAAATACCTTAATTAAAAGCATATTCCACAGAGCTTCCAGACTGCTAATAAGCAAGTGAATTGGCTGATGATGATCACCTTGGCCCGAATTAGCACGCCTGTCTCTTTTTCTTTAAATATATGACAAGGCCGATTATTTTTAAATGAAATACATGCCAAAATGACAATAATAAATGCCATAATTTGATTTTGGAGTGAATTGCTTAAGCGCATTGATTCCAAAGGTCAAAACTCCATCATCTGTCAGGATAAAGAACATGACCAAAATAAATGCAAAAATGTTATACGACAGTTGATGATAGGCCTGAAATGCAATCTGAAACCAATCAGGGGATTTGGAGAATCAAGCAACGTCTAATTTTGCTTGTAAAATTTTTGGCTATTACATTTTACAAAAGGAAATGCGGTTCTATCTCAGTTTTGTTGTTTGTGCCTTCAAGTCTTTTCTGACTTATGGCAACCCTGGCTCAAAGCCTATCATGGGGTTTTCTTGGAAAGTTTTTTGAGAAGGGGTTGCCATTGCTTTCCCCTGAGGCTGAGAGACTGTGACTTGCCCAGTGGGTTTATATGGCCAAGCCGGGATTTGAACCCTGGTCTCCGGAATCCTAGTCCAATGCTCAAACCACTACATCACACTGTTTCTCTCTATTTCAATATGTGGATTCAGTTAATAATTATACTTCATTAGTAGAAGAAGGAGATTTATCATATTACTATAAGGGTGTTTAAGTATAGCTTCAAGTATAGCAACTATTTTGGGGAAGGAAGTCATTATATTTCTAATTTTCTGTTTCTTTGTCTTTTTTGTTTCTTTTTCCTTTATTTGTAGAGCTATTTTGTAGGATTTCCCCCCCTTTTCTGCTTTTTTATGTTTGAGTTGAATGTTTTATATATGTAGAAAAATTGTGCAGTAATAAAAATATTTTTTAAAAAAAATATTGTTTGATTTTGAAACATGCTACAGAAACTATACAAATGTAAGATCAGCCCTACTAAGATCCATCTAGTCTAGAGCACATGCTGGAAGCAACACTTTACAAATCACAAGTTACTAGTCATTCATTCCTCTTTCAAATAACAAAGGTTTTGCTGATGTAATTATGACTTACCATATATACTCAACTATGAGTCGATCTCATGTATAAGTCGAGGGTGGGTTTTGGGGTCAAAATTAAGGATTTTGATATGACCCGTGGATAAGTCGAGGGTAAAACTTAGGGACATGTAATGAAGGATATAAAGGAAAAAGCAAGGGAAATCAATGCCAAGAAACTTACAAAATTCCAGCAGGCTTAACTATTTGTGCTCATACTAAAGGCTGGTCGGATGAGAGAATAGAAGGGGGCCAGTGATTCCAGGGCAGATTAAACTTTTTTCTTTCACCATATATGAGATAAAGTACAGTACATACATTGACTCAAGTTTTCTATAGCATTATGGCCTAAAGTGGGATGAGGAAAGTATAGTCTACATGCTTCAGGTAACCAACCCAAGCTGAGAGACCCTCTAACACAGGGGCCAGAAACCTACGGCCTCTGGGCTGGTTCCGGCCCAGGGCCCTGCGATTACCAGCCCAAGTGGACCCCTGCCGCCACCGCCACAGCCACCGCCGCCTGCCACAGCCACCATGCGTTTCGGTCGCCGCACAGCTGTGCGCGGCATGGGCGCCATTTTGCTAGCACAAAAATGGCGGCCGCGGCGTGTTTGCGCATGCACAAGAGTAGGCGGTTGTGCATGCGGAGGCGGTTGCAGCAGCATATGCAGCAGCGGCTGTGCCAGCAGCGGTAGCGCATGGGGGGTCGTGCACGGCGGCGGGGGTTGTGCACGCACGTGTGAGTGCACGCGCCACCATTCTGTCCCCCAGGCCCGCCGGAAGGAACAAGTTCAGGGGATTGGCCCCCGGCTCAAAAAGGTTGCCTACCCCTGCTCTAACATTTTGAGAAAATGACCCCCAGATGTCTCGGGGGAGGGGTTACTTTGAACTCAAACAAAATTGTAAAAAAAAATCCCCAGAAATAGTATGAGAGACTGTGTAGTGTAATGGTTTATGTGTTGGACTACAACTCTGGAGACCAGGGTTCCAATCCTCCACTTGGCCATGAAACCACTGGGTGACCTTGGAGAAGCCATGTGCTCTCAGCCTCAGGGGAAGGCAATGGCAAACCTCCTCTGAGGACATCTTGCCAAGAAAACCTAAGGGTTGGAAACAACTTGAAGACACACAACAACGACAACAAACTAAAAGGTGCAGTGGTTAGCAGGGCAACATGTGAGGGAGATTATCTTACCAATATACAGTCAATCAGAGGTCCTTTGGTTCAGCAGGCAGAGCATCACTGGCCCATGGTATGTATATATATATATATATATATATATATATATATATATATATGCACACACACACACATACATATACATACAGTCGCCCCTCCTTTCTCATGGACTTAAAGTCTGTGGTTTTGCATATTCATGGATGGGCAACCTCCATGAAAATCAATGGGGCGTGCTCACAGGGGTGCACCCTATTCAAGCCTATGGGGCTTGAATATTGCCGAATCTTCATTTTCACCGCTGGGGTGGGTGGGTCCAGAATGTATATATGAATCCTCTCTGTAACTCTCCAGAGTTACTAGAGAGATGGATATAGATATAGATAGATATAGATATAGTAAGGAGGTACTGCCTACCTCCTTGTGCAATACTGGGATTCGTGCTTTAGCATAACTCCTGATTCTACTAGCACAAAGTCACAAAGGGATCCCCGCCCTAACAGTGGTTAAAAGGTGCATAATCAGGTAAATTTAGATGGAATGAAGTTTCTCTCCCATCTTCATTTGGAAGCACATGTACTCTGGAGAGTTACTAAGAGGATCAGAGAAAGCCCACCCCACATTTTCTACTTTTCACACAGGAATATTTCCCCACTCTGGAGCATTGAAGTCTTTCACCAAGAAAAAGGCAAGATTCTGTGGGAGGGCTGAGCTGAATCGTCTGCATTAAGTATTGTTCTCAGCATTGATGGCATGGTTCTTTACATCAGAACTGTATAGTGCAAATATCTGCAAATTAATCATTAAAATTAACAAGAGATTTGTTGGGTCTTTTTTTAAAATCCAGCTACTCATACATTCCTCATCGTTCGTCACTTAGTCACTACAGCAAAAGTCCATCTATTAATTGGAATAAATGGGAATGCTATATAAATATATCCATAACCATACAGAGTAGCAAACGTGTTTCAGCCGCAAGGTCTTCTTCAGCAGTTGTTTAAGGGATGGCAATTTATTCCGTGTAGTAGGCGGGATGCGGAGGGAGAACTGATTTTTATTTTTTCAAAGAAAGAAATAGTATGTATGCTTGAATGCAACACATGGAAAGGTTAAGCCTGCAGAGGTTTCGCATGTGGGCTTGTGATTTATTTTTTTAAATGGTTTCTGCTGAGCGAATAAACATGTGATTTGCTTGTTGTGGCCTTCTTCTCACCGTACATTACTAGAGTCACTAAATGCCTGAAAAGAAGGATCATGCCCACAAAAACCCAGAGCCGCACTTAGGGGTATCCATCAGAAGTTACTTGCACATCACTACACAACATGGGTGGGCAATGGTTGAAGTTTAGGGGGCAACATTGGCCCTCCAAGGGACTGGAGGGGGTTGCTTCCTATGACACATAGTGCTGTGTGCTTTCAAGTGATTTCTGCCTGTTTTTGTTCTAAAATGGTTTATTGTATTGTATTTATGTGTTTCTTAATTGTTATTCTAACTTCACATCAGTTTAATTTAGTTTTAAGGGGGTGGGAGGGTTATGGATTGGGATGAAGAATTGTTTTAACTTGTTGACTGTTTTAACCTGTTGTACGCTGCCCCAGTTGCCGAGAAGAGGGGTGGGATAAAAATAAAATTTATTATTATTATTATTATTATTATTATTATTATTATTATTATTATTTCTTACATCAGCCCTAAGGCAAACCTATCATGAGGTTTTCTCCCAGTTAGCCAAGCAAACACCTTTTCCCATCTCAGAGCTCTGCTCACTAAGAAATGCTTCCACCTCATTTTCAGTGATTCCCCCCAGTCCCCACTTCCACAGCTCATCCCAGGGTCCCCTGGCCTTCCGTTTGGCATTTTGAGGAGATTAGAAAGACTGTTTTGGGAAAGAGAGAATCTGGCAGGCTATTTACATGGATGTATATCTCACTCCAACCCAACTGGTTTGGATCCAGATTTAAACTGAGTAACAGCTGGAGCCTTCCATGTCAGGAGAGTGGTGAATCTTCTCTGGTTTCTAGTCAAAGAGCTGTTCCATCCATGGAATCAGTAACTGTGGTTATACTTACCAACATCTAGAAAATAAGGTCTCTCTAGGGATCTGGAGATCTTCCAGAGTGACTCTATCATCAAGTGGTTCCAGAAGTTGACCAAAGAGTCGTGCTGGAGGATCTCCAGATGCTTAGTGAGACCTTGTTTTCTACATGCGGGTAAGTGTAAGCACAGTTACTGATTTTATGGATGTGGGAGTCAGACTGTAGGACCAATGGCTTCTTTGCCAGTGAGTAGGGTGAATCCATGGTGGGCTCTAGGCATCTGGAGGTCCTCCAGAGTGACTCTACCATCAACTGGTGCCAGAGGATGACCAAAGAGTCACACTGGAGGACCTCCAGATGCTTGGTGAGACCATCTCTGTAGGCATCTGGAGGTCCATCAGTGTGATTCTGTGGTCAACTTCTGGCAAAAATATAGCGTTCATCATTATCTGCTTTTCTTGCTATCCACAATAAGTATGGGAATACGATAAGTATCCGCCATGGATATGGAGGTCAAACTGCACTTACAGCTAAAGTCCCACTGATGTCAATGGGTTTATTCCAAGCAGAAATCAGCTGAATGCAACCCATTATTATGACCTGCTTCAAAGACGTGTTCTCAAGACAAATATTGTGATTCCTACAATACTATGTGCACGCTCCAAAGTGCAAGAGTGTTGACTTATTAATTAGAGGATGTATAAATAAATGTGGATTCTGGAACCCTTCGCCAGTCGTTCTGCATCAGGATCAGAATGCCAGCTTCTTCCCTTCTCAAGCACTGAATTTCCCCAGTGGGTTGTGGCGTGACACAACACACCCTACTGTTAACTTTGCTACTGGCAACTAAAGCCCTTGATTTATTCTCCTTTGATGTTCTGCTCTGAAGTGAGTAGCAAATGCAAGCGAAGGTGGTCTCAGGGGAAGAGTCTTAAGGTTCACTCCCCCACCTTGTTTTCTCTCACTTGGAAATATGCCGCATTCATTCTCTCACACATCCAGGAAGTAGACATTGACCAATTGTCGGAGCTGGAGTTCAAAATGTAACTTCCACTAGCTGCCCCTTAAACAACTTTAACAGCCCTCAGGGTATAGCTTGGGGTTGTACAGTGTTAAATTATTGCAAGAAAGAACAAATAATCAATTTTCTCCATGCTGCCAGATGGGTATGGGAAGAGAAAATCTCCAGCAGGAGGTCCAAGAGGAACAGTTCCCTGACCCATTCATGGGAGGGTTGGGGAGAAGACAGGCAAGGATCTGGAGGCTGTAGCTTTCCAGGATCTTTTTTTAGAGCCTCCCCACCACCACCACCACTTGCTAACTATGTCACAAC